GAGGACAAATATTTTGACGAGTCCGAAAAGAAAATGCTAGATGTCGATACAATCTACAATACCGCAATTCAAGAATGTCCGCTAGGGGCAAAATGGGTGGCTGACGCTACGAAAAATGATGACGTTCTGCAACATGTCTCGAAGTATCATTANTGTATCTGGTTGGCCAGCGAATCGCGAAGTACCAGGTAATATTAAGCCATTTATTAATCGAAAGCTATGTTTGTCCTTGCAGAGTGGCATTATACTCCTGCAAACGGATTACACTAGAATTGTGATTCCCAAACAACTGCAATCAAAAGTTCTGACTCTTCTTCATGAGGGGCATTGGGGCAAAGAGCGAATGAAGCAGTTGGCTAGACGCTACGTTTGGATCCCGGGTATTGATAAGCAAATTGAAAATGTGCATGCTACTTGCGCTATCTGTCAAGCAAGCGCAAATTTGCCAAAAAAAGAATTTTCACCTTGGCCAGAACCGTCAGGTCCCTGGGAAAGACTTCATTTGGATTTTGCGGGTCCCTATTTCAACCGTATGTGGTTAATCGTGGTAGATGCTTATTCGAAATTCCCATATACAATAGAATTGGCAGCGGCAACAACTATGACGACAATCGCTGCACTGCAACGTATTTTCTCTGTGGAGGGTCTGCCAATAACCCTTGTTACAGACAATGGTACGCAATTCACATCGCGAGAATTTAAAGAGTTCTGCGAGCGTAACGTCATGCTCCTTTCCATCCAGCGTCAAATGGACTTGCGGAAAGGGAGGTAAGAACTTTTAAAGAGGCTTTCACAAAAATTATGAGAGATGAGCAGCACACTGAGCGGGCCTTGTATAAATACCTATCTAAATATCGTGCTACGCCAAATCCAATTTCAGGCAAATCGCCATCAGAATTGCTCCATGGTCGTCAACCGAGAATCGTTTTGGCAGCATTATTTCCAAGTAACAACGAAAAGGTGGAAACTAAGTCTAAATTTGCAGTGGAGGAAAATATATTTGCTCGTAACTACCCCGGATCTCAACGGTGGATACGCGGAAATATTCACAAACTTATGGGCAACAAAATGTACTTAATCCAAACATCTAATGGGCCATAAAACGACATCAAAACCAAATGCGTCCAGATAAACACGACTATTTAAACGAAAGCATAGATCCTGGGGACATCGAGATCGACACCGATGCATTGGGCAGCAAAAGAGAATTGGATACCACGGGTAAAAGATCATCGTTAACAGATGTTCCAGCTCCTTCAGCATGCAATGAAGAGATAGGCCTTCGAAGATCACAGCGTGCAAGGAAACCGACTGTTAGATTTGATATTTGATCGATGAGTTTNTCGTAACTACCCCGGATCTCAACGGTGGATACGCGGAAATATTCACAAACTTATGGGCAACAAAATGTACTTAATCCAAACATCTAATGGGCCATAAAACGACATCAAAACCAAATGCGTCCAGATAAACACGACTATTTAAACGAAAGCATAGATCCTGGGGACATCGAGATCGACACCGATGCATTGGGCAGCAAAAGAGAATTGGATACCACGGGTAAAAGATCATCGTTAACAGATGTTCCAGCTCCTTCAGCATGCAATGAAGAGATAGGCCTTCGAAGATCACAGCGTGCAAGGAAACCGACTGTTAGATTTGATATTTGACCGATGAGTTCAGNATTCACAAACTTATGGGCAACAAAATGTACTTAATCCAAACATCTAATGGGCCATAAAACGACATCAAAACCAAATGCGTCCAGATAAACACGACTATTTAAACGAAAGCATAGATCCTGGGGACATCGAGATCGACACCGATGCATTGGGCAGCAAAAGAGAATTGGATACCACGGGTAAAAGATCATCGTTAACAGATGTTCCAGCTCCTTCAGCATGCAATGAAGAGATAGGCCTTCGAAGATCACAGCGTGCAAGGAAACCGACTGTTAGATTTGATATTTGACCGATGAGTTCAGTTTTCTAGTAATTAATTAAATTCAAAGTAACCTTGTAAATAAACTCTCAAAAATAAGCGGGGGGAAATGTTAGAGTAATCTGGAAACTCCTTACCTGTCATTATTCCTATGTATATATGAATTAGCTTAGATATAAAAAAAGATGGCCGGCTGTTTTCGGTCTACGTTGTAACACGCATAGCATTGAATAAAAAGTTAATAGAGACATCATCGTCTTTTATACACGGAATCACCCACCGTAAATAGTAACAGTTTCTATAAAAACTTTCTGCTTGTAAATTTATTTAACAGTTAATCTTTTGTAAATTTAAATTGTCTTTAATATTTTTTGTACATCTTTATTCAGATCCGTAAACTCGAACTTAGGAGAAATATGGAGTTTTTATGAAAATTATAGTCGCTAACATCACTCTTTGTACTAGCCTAAACTATAAGTGGGTATTATATTCGTATTACATCTATGTATATTGTTTCAAATGTAACCGAAAACAAAATTGTTTGCATCTATAAGTAAGCAAAATTTATGATCAGATGTTTCCACGGGATAACTAACATATTGCAAGGGTATGTAAATTTACATATGTATGCATGTATATATGTCGGTATAAATAGCATTGAAGAAGTACATAGTTATAAGAGGTGGATTATATAGTATCGAAGCCAACAAAAATGTATTAGAAGCTTTTATTAAGGGAATAAGAGGAGGCATAAAAAGAGCTTAAAGGAAAATATCAATAATAATCTGGCAATCTGTACCTTAATTGTTCTCCTTATACCAATCCTGAAAACATGGTAAGACACAAAATTATTTACTTTAGCCGCTTTAAAATTTAAGTATACTTATGTACATACATATGTAAGTGCAAATATCTATGTGTGATTGTGTGTCGATATATTTAATCCAAAAAGCAAAACTTTATGAACTCTTACATATGCAGGAATGACTTAAATCAAGTGAATGGTTAAATAAAAAAATTAACGATAAGAATTTACGTAATTTTAATAATTTGTATGCCTGGTGTAGAATTTTACCTTTTTTATTTAGCTTGCATCACTAGATTAATTTTAATCGTAACTTGATTGTCCTCATTTTAGAATTCCCTATTTTACAAATCTTTATTGAATGAGTTTCCTTTTCCACGTTCTGTGTGTATGTTAAAAAATATGTACACATACAGACATACTTACAATTCATATGTATGCCGTTTTTATGTCTACAATTCAACAAAGCGGAAAGCTTTCTATTAAGAATAATCGTATTCTTATGCATTACAAGGAAGAAAACTTAAAATAAATGAATTTACACAAATGGTGATTTAATGGCATAAAATATGGGATGAAAATTAATCAGGTGAGTAGTTAATTTTTTATTGAACAACACATAGGACGAAGGAACACAAATTGTGTTAAAGAATTCAACACAATGTTTGCAAAAGGAACATAACAAAAACCTTTTTTATGAAATTTTTTAGAAGTGATCGGACCTCTACCACATTGTGGTATGTAGATCTGCCACATATTTGCGTTTTTGAGTAGTTTTATTTTTACTCGACATAATTTTCTTCATTTTAAGAGCAAAAATTATTCAACACTAAACACTAACAACAAAGCCGAATGGGAGGATGAAATAAATTGAAAAATAGTAAATTTGTTCAATAATCAATTTTTCGACAGGAACCGTGGTTTTATTGTATTAAATTGCAAAATATATGATTTATAAAAGGCATTAATAGCGAAAATGTTAAAAAACGGCAATTTTTGTGAAAGTATTAGCAAATTTCAGTGCATCTAAAGTTGCTAAGTCGTTGTTTACTTTTACTTGAGAATTGTCAAAATCGGCAAATTTCAAGTAGCGGCTGGACCGTGCCTCGTTTGTTCGCAACATGGTGATGTGATAAAAAGAACAGGTTGCAGAAATCTCTCGAAATATGTTCGAAAAATATCTTGATATGGAAAGAACTGCTTTACACTGTCAAGGAAAAAAATTGTTAAAACTCAACTCAATTTTTAGCAACTTCATTCTTGAACTTTATTATACGAAAATAATTTTTTTTTAGATTCTAATTAAGATGTTTGCAATTTAGATGAAGCCCTGCAGAATTTTTTCAATTTTTACAAAGTTTGATCCAAAAGCTGAGATCTACAACTTTTTTTGAAATCTACCAAATTTTTTTCCAGATTCTACCACACAAATGTTTTTCAAGTCCGTTCACTCCAAACCAGCGTTGGGTAGAGAGAGCTTTTAGTCTGCTCGCGCCTCAAGGTTAATACATGAGAGGATGCGCAATGCGGTCCATTATTCTTTTCTCGCAAAATTGGGCGACAACAACAGCGAAAACAGCAAGCAGCGTAAAAAAAACATAAAATTGAAGTGAAGTGAATCGATAGCTTATTCAAAAATACATTTACATTTAATTTTAACCAAATTTTTNAACCGAACACTGATTTTGGTAATAAAATTCAATGATTTGCAAGCGTTGCTCGTTAGTAAGTCTATTCATGATGAAATTTCAAAGCATACTGAGCATCTTTCTCTTTGACACCATGTCTGAAATCCCACGTGATCTGTCAAATACTAATGCATGAAAATCCTAACCTCAAAAAAATCACCCGTTATTAAATGAAATGTTGAAATGCATGAATTTATCATTGTTATATAACTATTCATAAACTTAGTAGACGTACTTACATACATACATACATACATACATAGTAAATATGCATGTAACTGCATACATAGTTATTCGTACAGTGATTGTTTCTCAATATTCGCAATGTTTTTAATAATGATATTCGGTAGTTTTTCACGAAAATATAGTTCATATTTTAGCAAAACCATACGAATTAAATTATAGAACTTTTTGCAAAACTTAAAAAATTCTACAAATTTTCATCTATATTTCAAAATTTTGACTCAAAATTTTTAGAGAAAAGTTGCGTTGATTTTTGGGATTTTTTTCTCAACGGTGTTGAACGTTTTCTTCCATGCAAACCTACATTTTGCTCATGGAAGAAAATATGTAACACCCTTGAGAAACAAATTCTAAAAAATCAAAGGTAATTTAAAGCGACTTGAAGCTTGCGATTTATTAACTGAGATTGAGAGAGTTACAAATATTCATACTTAATTTTTTTCTAAAAACTATCATTACAAATTTTGATGAACATTTTTATAGTTTTTTTAAGTTATGCAAAAAGTTTGAAAATTTCATTTATATGGTTTTTGTTAAAATATGAACAGTATTTTCGTGAAAAATTGACGAAAAAATAAAAAACATTGCGAATATTGTAAAACAATCACAGTACGAATAACTATTTTGACTATGTGTGTAATTATATATATGCATACATATGTAGGTATGTAGAGCTTTAATAAGTTATATTACACTGATAAATTTATGAATTTTAACATTTCTCTTAACATTACTTCCAAAATTACTTGTACAAGTGCCCAGTAAAAACATTTGTCATCTAGAGGCGAGCGCCCGCTCGTGGTTGTCACCATAATATTGTTATAACTTTAGAACCACTTGTTGTCTAAACCTGAAACTTTCCCAAAAATGTCCGTATATATTTGTCTTTAATGCTGCATTAAAACAAAACAAAAATTTTGAACCTCCTAACACAACTTTTGCATTTGAGTAAAGCCATGTCAAGTGGTCCTCGAAAATTTCGCTAAATCACGGATTCTGGAAATATATATTTCATTGTGAAGTATATGTTATGCTTCTGTCTCAATGTGAATACTTCGTTAATATTCCAATTTTTGTCAAAGTTATTAACA